CACGCCGCGCTCTCACATCTCTCCAATCTTTTCTTCTGCACCTCATCCAGCCCGGAAAAGGCCTACTGACCGAACGGGTGACAATCTTCTCGCTTTGGTATCCCCATCGCATATGTGAGCGCTAAAAGCTTGATTTGCTAAGATTTCCACAGATGTGGTGTTGAGGGAAAAACTCCTGAGTGAACTTACCTAAGTCCTTCAACATGTTGCTGTAGATCCGCTCCAAAGAAACCAAACCTCATATTATACATACTTTAACAACAAGTATCATCGATCACAGTTTTAAAGCTGAGTGTCGTATCTTATCCTCTACATCTCCTCCGTTTACATATGACAAAAAGTCTTTGTTGACAGCGTCTGTGGATGTCTGTGATGTGGTGATCAAAACTCAGTTTATTGTCCATAGTGATGCCAAGGTACCTGAAGCTGTCAACAATTTCTACTGGTTGGCTGTTTATGGAGATGGGGCAGTGAGGGGTGGAGAGTTTACGGCGTGTGTCCAGGATGAGTTCCTTTGTCTTGGTGACCATTACACCATTTGGTGAAGTGGGCAATGGATTGGTGATATGCTGTAACTGCAACAGAGCCTGAGCAGCAACACTGCGCATATTAATAAATTTTGTCACACACTCCCATATGGGGGAATGTTACAGGATAGTCATCCATGTAGCCTATCAAAATATGGAGGCTTTTATTACTGACTGAAGAAGCCTCGACTCCAAACCTTCATCACATTTTTATTCCACTTCAGATTGTGTTGATGCCCTCCATGTTGCTGTATTCTGATCAGGCTTAAAATCAGGAAATTCCAAAACAAACCAAGATAAAGAACAGCACTCTGTAATTTCTGTCAAGATAGTGATGTGGACTGCAAAAAAAAAAAAAAAAGACTGTGATAAGTGTTTGCAGAGACAAACAGTACAACATGATGTGGTTGCTGAGTTAAAGAGTCTGACAGCTGTTGGGATGAAGGACCTGGGGTAACACTGAAGGACTGAAGGTTTCTGAAGGAACTGCTCAGGGAGCCCACAGACTCATGCAGGGTGAAGTGAGAAGTGTTGGCTAACAAACTCTCACCCGTCTCCTCTATGGAGTCTAGAGGGCAGCCCAGGACAGAACTAGACCTCCTGACCAATTTGTTCAGTCTCTTCCTGTCCCTCTCTGTGTTCCCAGCTCCCCAACAGACTACTGCACAGAGGATGGCAGATGCCACCACAGTTGGATAGTTTCAAGGTTTTAGTTTGCTGTTGAATTGTATTGCATTATACTGACAGGTGTTTTCAATTTGTACCTTTTCTACCCTCATTATAGTTGTGGTGGACAAAATATTAGAAACATTTCTCATCGTAAATTATCATAGTGAGGTCGTGAAGTCAACATTACTTTTAACCAGGTGTGCCTAATATCCTGGCAACTGAGTGTATAAACATACATACACACATAGAGAGGTAAGGTTTTATAATAAGGTTTTATTGCAATCGACACGTTGTTCCCTTCTCCAGTAAATAGGACGAACCAGAGATGGAGATGTTACTAGTTCCCTCCACTCATAGAGCGCTTTGGCTGAGCTACAAGCCAGAGAGCTGAAGTTATGCTAGAAACATTCAAAGACAACAACACTGCGTACGGTTGACGGTAAATATAATCTGACAGTATGTTTAACAACAAGACAAGCTAGATATCAGCCATGTCATCGCAACATCTGAAACTGTTCTAGAGGTGGTTATTGGATTTCCATTTAATTTGCCCAACATTGTCTGAATGAGGCACTTAAGAGGGTACTTAAGAATGAAATGACCAAAAAACAAACATTTCCACAGCCTTATGGCACATGGATGGTAACCTCTTCCTGAAAGGTAGTGGTTAGCTGTGAAATTTACCTGCAAACATACATTCATGGGCAGGTATATACGACCTGTGGGATGGAAAGCATGTGTTACAAATTTGTGAACCACTCTAATTGACCCTATAGGTATGTGGTTGCAGTAGCTGACCAGAGAGGTGTATATTTATGGTGTCAGAAGGTGTGTGTGCCTTCACCTGCACAATTTCTCAAGCCTGTAATTAGGAAAAGGTGAGAGGTGAGTTCAGACACCACTGGATGCATTTTAACAGACCCTTGTCTTCTTGTCAGTCATCTGACTGTAAATAACCACTCTCACTGTTACAGTTTTCTTGTCTGTGATATTGTTTTAAATGCCACAGCAGCAATTTCTCTCTTGGTCATTGTCCTACATCAAATGCATTGGAAAGGGACAACTTACTGCACCTGTTCCTGTCAATTAGGGACAAGCCAGCTTTAAAGCTAAGTAGAAAAGCTGATTCTCATGTCTTGTAACAGGCCATCCCAGCCATGCATTAGCCTGTAAAATGTACAAAGGACACGTTTATCAAGCAAAAATATTACATCCTGACACTTAGCCAACACTGAAAGACAGCTGCAGAGGAATTTCAATGATTGATCGGCGGTCGCCCTGTGTTTCTCATGGTCGTTAGGGAAGGAGTTGGTCGTTAGGGAAGTAACCAGTGGTTAGGGGATGTCCAGGTGTCAGTGGGATGACAGAACCCCTCATTTGGTTTCTGGGGCAGCTGGCCAGGACGGGACAGAGCGACATCAAACAACCCACAGCTGGAAGGAAAGAGAGGGGAAGCGGGTGTGAGGAGCGGAGAGGAGAAATGGAAAGAAGAAGGCAAAAGAGGAAAATGGAGAAGAAAGAAAAATGAGGGAAAATCAGGAAAGAAATCTTTAATTTCAGTGTTGAGCTTAATTTCTGTTGACGGTATGGTTCATTCTCAGTGTCTTTTACCAATTTTTCTTCTTTTCTTCCTCATTTTATTGTGGTCAGTGTGGCCAGTTAAGACTCACACACACTTTGAAAACACAGACATTAGAAAGAAACACTGACTAAAACATATTTTAAATAATAACATGTGGTTGATTTTCAGGAAAGGAACAGAAAAAATCAGAACAGTTTCAGATTTTTTTTTGTTACAACAATCAGTAGGGGCTCTTTCATTCCCAAATCTGCATGAGGTCACAATTTTACTGCACATTAAAACATATTTTCAATGTACTGTAACATACTGTAAGCCAGTGGGTGTTCCCCCTTCTGGGTCCTTTTACAAGATACAAGATTCATGAATAAAAACATATAAATGGATGTAATGCTTTTGAGGGCAAGTTTTGTTACAGTCAATGGTTTTAACAGACAGCACAGACCTTGGCCATGGCCAGCCTGCGTTTGCGTGAAGGTTTGCCAGTTAAGTTTCACATATACAAGCTCCAGTAGTGAATCATAGCAGTCCAGCACACTCAACATCATTAGCTAAATCCCAAAGTAATTGCACCAGAAGCTGCAAAAGATAACTACAGCATCTTTACACAATATTGTCATATTAACCTGTATGCATGTTCATGTCACTGTTTGAGGAGGTCTGTGTGTTAAAGAGCTACTGTACCACTTCCAGCCACTCTCAGGGATTCACAGTGTGTGTGTGTGTGTAATCAGACATGGCAGCTATTAAGCTGTCACAGTGGAAAACAGACGTTGTAGCCCTAACAGTGCCTGTCTTGGACAGAATTCCCAGTATTCCCTTGCAGACTTTTGGAGGCTCCCAGAATGCCTGTGTCATAGCTCAGTGACTACCGGGTATTCACTGCAGGGGACCGGCGTCATAGATCTGGCTCTGTGCCAGAGAACGAAAAAATGAACGCAAGTATGTTTAGATGTACAGCCTGTGTATACGTAGGTTTATGCTATAGTAATGGTTTGTGTTGCAGGACATCGGTGTCCTTCTGTGTCTCAGGTCAAAGGGCACACTACAGCGCCTAACACTCAGACAGCGACAGAGGTATAAAGATAGAAGAAACAATACACTGGCGTCATCTTACTGCTTCCAGCGTTCTTATGAGGCTTCACAGAGGTCTGCAGGATCACAGTCTGCCTGTCTCTCTCGCTCATGCTGCTATCACGCTGACCTGATTGATTCACCTTGTATTACAGACATTGCATCATAGTGGTTTATCCACACATATGACACTCGTATATCGTTGCAAGGTCCACATGTAAACACATAAACCTACACAAGCACACACACAATTGCAAAGTTTGGAAATTCTCAGCCGTGGCAATTTCACACCCATGTTGTGAACAGCTGCGGTGTCGATCAGCTGGCAATCTTTATTAGTTCTAAAATGTTGTGGTGTCTGCTACTCTATAAAAGCCAAAAACAGGTAGGAAAAACACATCCCCTCTGCTCGATCCCTCTAAATTTCTCCACAGTGTAACATCAAGTTACAGTCAACATTTAAAGCAGTTTCTGATGTTTACAACTCTCATTTCTCCTTACTCCCCGACGTAAAAGAGTGGAAAGTTATAGAGCCAAGGATGCTACACTACATTGTGTGTTTAGAGGGCTAAAACAATCCTTTGCCCAGAACTAAGATATTCAGCCAGGGGAATATATTGCACCCATATGTGTTTGAACTTCTCCAAATCACTTATGTCCGTGCAAATATTACCATAACCTCTCTGGATGAAGACGTTGGAAGTGTGTCACTGTGGGGTTTTGGTTCCCAGCCAGTGGACTTACAGTAATTCCTGAATCAATCAGATTTTTCCCCAACATGGTATGGTGGTGAACTGAGTCACAATATAGTTGGCATCCTTTGGGTGTGAATCACTAATGAAGGGACACTGACTCACTCACTATAGCACAACTGCATTTTACATGCATTGTGTTCACTACAAAGAGAAAGACAAGAGAGAAAGTGATAAGCTGTGAATAGATTGAACATATTTTTTCTATTACCCTCAATCCAGTCCATTCTTACTGTGGTATTTTTAATTTAGATTTGTTATCCATTTGTTTCCATCATCAGTCAAAAGGAAAAAAAAAAGGAATAACTCAGAACAAGAAAGAAAAATAAAGTGAAAACAAGAAGTGGGTGGAGAAGCCAGAGCAAGATCAAGAGTGATGTGTGTCCAAAGCCTCACAATCTTGCATGACGATTCACAGGGAGAGATATTGCTTTTGGATAAGCTTTTAGGATACACTACAGGAGCATGTCCTCATACCACAAGCACACATCCTGAGCTGTCACAACATTCATACTGAGGTGCAAAACGGGTGTGACCTCAGCTAGAAACAACTTTTAAAAAATGTGCCTACAATTTTCAGACACTTTCTCCCAACATTTCTCCTCACATCCCTCCCGAAACTTTGTCATTTTTTTCCCTCCCACCCCTCAAGCAAACCCCACCTCACAAACACAACACTCCCCCATTAAACATGTGTGTGTGTGAGTGTCGCTCAGTCTCTCCATGGATAGATTGTTGCAGCAGCTCTGCTCCCTGCGGCAGGGTCGAGCTCTGGCTCTCCTCCACTTCACCTCTCTCCTGTACCTAGCCTCAGGTGCTCTTCCCTGGGATAAGAAAGCCAGCCCATCCCCTCTGGAGGTAAGACATCCACATGGTCATGGAAAAAAGTATGAAAGTAATTTATATATAGCTATGTGGTTGTTACAAGTTGTAATTTAATTGTTTACGCAAGCTTTTTAAGAGCTGTTTTAGTGATTTATCTGCATAAACTACATGCTTTACTGACCTATACCCTCATCTTGTAATTTATGAAAGAAATCGTTGTTATAACTGACATATTTGACTTTAGCTTAATGGAATTTGTTGTTCTTGTGCTCACTACAACTAAAATATTTGCCAAAATGACAGACCACTGGTTTGTTTTAGATTATTAGACTAACTGACAGATGAAGCTATATATCAAAGCATCAACAGGGAAGAACCAGAGGGGCCCATTAAAATAAATGTGACATGAAAAGAACAGAAGAGGTAAACTCCAAACTTGCAAAACATAGATCTGTGCAGAGGAGGAGCAAAGAGGAAGACCAGAAAGGTTCCCCAACTCAAACCAACTGTTGGACTGGACCGAGTGAGCTGTGGGATTTCCAGCGAGAGAGAACGAAAGAGAGAGAGAGGGAGAGAGTTGGAGCAGGATTAACGAGCGAAAATGGGAGAAAAAGAGCAGCAATGTGATCCAGTGGAATTTATGATTATACTGTTGAAACGCATGCCTGTGATGGTAAAACCGTGGTACAGAGAGCACATGCAGAGAGTGTCTAGTCTCAGAAGTACACGCGTGGGCACATGCAGTGTTCGTACCTGCAGGTTTTGTGTGCATAAAAGTGTGTGCTGGCAGGGGTTTCAGGTGGTGAAGGGGAATTTCTCTCGGATTTTCCTCCGTGTTGGCTACCATAAGATTGCAGAGATTCCTGCAGGAGCATGCAACATCAGCATACAGGAGACAATAAAGAGCCGAAACTACCTGGGTACGCACACACACACACACACACACACACACCTACACACACACACACACCACA